CAGACATCGCAAAAAACGCGAGGTGTCATTCAGACGGTTTTAATGATGGAGAAGTATTTTCTACTGGGGGAAGAGAGCTGAAAGAGGCGCAAGTACCTTATAATTCAATCGATGTTTCGAGTTTACCCTTAGAAATCATACTTAGACGATTTTAACTCGACTCTATGTCAAATACATTTTATCCTTACCCTTCTCCAAAAAGAATTTCACGCACCATCGGTGTGTATATCGTAATCTAAGTCACATTGTGTTGAAAAATGACACATTTTAGAATGTAGAAGGATTATTACGCTATAAACGATACATATCAAAGAGGGAAACATTTTTCTCCGCTACATTATATTCAGAAATATAGCGTTATATATAAATATACACATATATACAATGACAAAGGAAAAGATGAGACACTTTTAACTCTTAGTGGCAAATATAAATGTGCATATTGTTCGTTTAAAAAAAAAAGATAAAATTCCAAGCAAGTACTAAGAAGGGAAAGTTATTAAAAATCGCGGAAATCGCTCTGTTAAACATCAATCGCAGAAATCGCTCTCTGTCGAGTAATAATATCGCGGAAATCGCTCTATTAACTATACTAATGAAATCGTAATATTATAAATATACGATATATATTATCTGTGGCTATTGTTATGTGAAACATTATTCTGTGGAAAAATTTATTATAATATTAATCGTTACTATCGTCAGAGAAAGTATAATGTTAAATAATAATCGTTTCAGAATGATTGCACGATGTAAGCGTAATCGTGAGAGGCGTAATGTTAAGAGTTTTTTGAAATCACATTCGCATGTAACAACACAACAGTAACAACAACAATAACAACAACAGCAAACAGAGAATGACAAAAATGCTCTAATCTCAATAATCGTAGAATAATCTGTTTTTTGTCTTGAAAAGAAAAAGCTGTTAGCGAACCGTTGCTTTCCATGCCACCGGTGCTATAATCGCCAAGAGAGTCCTCTGAAGATTTATTATCAATCTTCTACTATCTCTCGATATTTCCCGAAATGTTAATCTACCTGTATAAGAAAAAACTCAAAACATATCGAAATGCCTAATGCATTTAAGAGAATTCTATAAAATATGAATGTTAATTACAAGATATATTATATATCCTATTGAAAAATTATATTTTTATCTTCGATCCGTATGTACATTTAAGCTCTACATATTTACACAATATATTTTCTCGAAAGGCGTACATATACCTATAAAATAACATACATATATATTATATATAATCATACATACGCACATTTACATATCCGCCCTGCTGTATCATACATATGTAATGTTCTGAGAGAGAACTGAGATTTTTTATTCATAATTTTAAGCGGTTATCTTCTTATCTTAAATTACAGATGTAAAATTATTTGTTAATGCGGATCGATGACCTAGTCATATAAATTTTAATTACAATTTATGCGTCTTTTCTTATCTTTATACGTTTTAATCTAATAATAGTCAAATACTATAATTTGAATTTCTTAAAAAATATAAACATTTAATGTGAGATATTTTAGACCTGAGAAAAATTTTTTTATCTAATCTATCTGTGTATGAATTAAATATTTTAAATGAAAATTTCATTATTCCGTGAGAATATAGAAAGAAGTTCTCTTATTAGATGTTAAATTTAAAATTATTTATTAAAATTATTTATTACATATGTTGTAAGACATATCTTCTCTTTAGATACAGAATATATTATATAGTTATCTGCAAATTATTTATATATAACAATCTACATATAATTTCATAGATGGAATATGTATA